GAAGCCAGGTAGCCAGGAGTGGTGGCAGGCGTCCTTAATCCCAGCTATTCGGGAGGCTGAGGCAGAAAATCGCTTGACCCCAGGAGGAGGAGGTTGTAGTGAGCCAAGATCGAGCCACTGTGATCCAGCCTGAGCGACAGAGCCAGAGTCTGTCTTAAAAAAATAAGCCAGACGCGGTAGCTCACGCCGATAATCCCAGCACTTCAGGAGGCTGAGGTGGGCAGATCACGAGGTGAAGAAATCGAGACCATGCTGGCTAACACGGTGAAACCCCGTCTCTCTCAAAAATACAAAATAGGCTGGGCGCGGTGGCTCAAGTCTGTAATCCCAGCACTTTGGGAGGCCGAGGCGGGCGGATCACGAGGTCAGGAGATCGAGACCATCCTTGCTAACCCGATGAAACTCCGTCTCTACTAAAAACAATGCACAAAACTAGCCAGGCGAGGTGGCGGGTGCCTGTAGTCCCACCTACTCGGGAGGCTGAGGCAGGAGAATGGCATGAAGCCGGGAGGCAGAGCTTGCAGCGAGCTGAGATGGCGCCACTGCACTCCAGCCTGGGGGACAGAGACTCCATCTCAAAAGTAATAATACTTTTGAGTATTATTTTTGAGACTCCGTCTCAAAAAAATTCAAAATAGCCTGCCATGGTGGCAGGCGCCTGTAGTCCCAGCTACTCGGGAGGCTGAGGCAGAATGGTGTGAACCCGGGAGGCAGAGCTTGCAGAGTCAAGATTGCGCCACTGCACTCCAGTCTGGGCGACAGACTCCATCTCAAAAGTAATAATAGGCAGGGCGCGGTGGCTCACGCCTGTAATCCCAACACTTTGGGAGGCCGAGGCGGGTGGATCATCTGAGGTCCAAAGTTTGAGACCAGACTGACCAACATGACGAAACCCTGTCTCTACTAAAAATACAAAATTAGCCGGGCGTGGTGGCGTATGCCTGTAATCCCAGCTACTCAGAAAGGCTGAGGCAGAATAGCCTGAATTCCGGGAGGCGGAGGTTGTAGTGAGCCGAGATGGTTCCATTGCACTCCAGCCTGGGCAATAACAGTGAAACTCCGTCTCAAAAAATAATAATAATAATAATGATAATAATAATAAAATAATTCTATTGAGGTGAAGGATTAAGTTGTAACATACTTGATTCTCTCAGCCCTTTTTGGCTGTTTTACTATAGTCCCTATTTTGATGGTTATGCTAATATTTGTGGAAAAAGGTCTTGTATTTGCTGCATTATAGTGACATCAGTACTTCTTTAGCTGGTTTAAGTACAAATGAATAAAACCATTTTTCCTTTAAAAAACAAAACAAAACACCAGGATGTGACTCCAGGCTCTTAAACAAAAGGCCAGGACACAGAATTCAGTCCCCCTGCAGGGTGACATCCCGAGTTCATCCCCACGAGCTGGTGAGGCCTTTCCCATCTGCACAGCCTCCTTGGCCATGTGTTCACTGCACTCGCTCCACTGTATCCCAGAGACTCACACGTGCCAGGTGCTATCTAGGTGCCAGAAACATGGTAAAAGCCCCACAGGGCCCTGCCCTCTGGGAGCCTTTATTCCAGTCCACATACCTCCCTCCACAGGTGGAAACAGCACCCATGTCACACCAGAGCTTGAGGCCAAAGCTAGAGAACCCTCACCTGACTGGCCAGTCCCTGTTCCTCCCTGGGGTAGACTGGGGAAGGGGGTGAGGACGAGCTCCGGTCAGCAGCTCCAGGGTTTGGCGCCTGTCTTGGTTGTTTTAAAATGTAGCTTAATTGGCTGGGCACGGTGGCTCACACCAGTAATCCCAGCACTTTGGGAGGCCAAGGTGGGAGGATCCCTTGAGCTGAGGAGCTGGAGACCAGCCTAGGCAACAAAGCAAGAGCCCATCTCTAAAAGATATGTTTTTAAAAATGTTTAAAAATGAAAAGATGGCTTAATTGCATAACAAATGTATTAGTTAACCAACTATGAGGAAACACCGAAACATAAAGAACCACACACTCTGTACAAAGCTCCCCAAAGGCTTCCCAGCCCTGAGCACTTGTACCCACACCCCCGCCCCAAAAAGCCTCAATTTCTGCTTCCATGTCACGCTGACCCCTCAGCTCCCCCCGACTCTTCCCCTTACCCCACTTTATTGTTTTCCATGGAACTCAATCAAACCAGTTTGGACCTACTGGAAGGCGAGCTCCACTGGGGTGGGGGTGGGCCACCGTTTCCAGCTGTATTAAGTCCCGAACAGCACGGCCCTTCGAAGACGCACCTAATAAGTATGCTCAATGAATGAATGAGACCAAAAAAATTGCAGTGAGGCTTCAATGACATAAAGACTATCATTGTGTAATTGCTCTTAAAAAACTCCTGTAAGTGCAATTGCTGAGTCAAAGAATATGAACCTTTTAGAGAAGCTTCTTATCCTTCAAAGAAAATACAATTAGGCCAGCCCTGTGAGTTTTCCCACTCAATTCCTACTGACTGCTGTCAGGACACCCCACAATAGCTTTAATTTGGATTTTTCTTTTTTTTTTTTTTTATAAGTCTCGCTCTGTCACCCAGGCTGGCAAGCAGTGGTGCCATCTCGGCTCACTGCAACCTCTCTCTGCCTCCTGGGTTCAAGCGATTCTCCCACCTCTGCCTCCCAAGTAGCTGGGATTACAGGCAGGCGCCACCAGACCCGGCTAATTTTTTTATTTTTAGTAGAGATGGGGTTTTGCTATATTGGCCAGGCTGGTCTCAAACTCTTGTCCTCAGGTATCCACCTCGGCCCCCCAATGTTGCGGTTTACAGGCCTGAGTCACTGCACCCAGCCCTGATTTGGATTTTTTTTTTTTTTTTTTTTTTTGAGACGGAGTCTCGCTCTGTCGCCAGGCTGGAATGCAGTGGCACAATCTCAGCTCACTGTAACCTCCGCCTCCTTAGTTCAAGTGATTCTCCTGCCTCAGCCTCCTGAGTAGCTGGGACTACAGGGATGCACCACCATGCCCAGCTAATTTTTTTTTTTTTGAGACAGAGTCTCGCTGTGTTACCCAGGCTAGAGTACAGTGGTTCGATCTTGCCTCACTGCAACCTGTGCCTCCTGGCCTGGGTTCCAGCAATTCTCCTGCCTCAGCCTCCCACATAGCTCGGACTATAGGTGAACACCCAGCTAATTTTTGTATTTTTAGTAGAGATGGGGTTTCACAATTTTGGTCAGGCTGGTCTTGAACTCCTGACCTCGTGACCTGCCCGCCTCGGCCTCCCAAAGTGCTGAGATTATAGGCGTGAGCCACTGCGCCCAGCCGATTTGGATTTGACTACTAGTTATACTGGGTTGAAGTGTGCCCCCTGAATTCATGTCCTCTCCAAACCTCAGAATATGACCTTATTTGGAAAGAGGGTCTTTGCAGATGTAATCGGTTAAGATGACATCACACTGGGTCAAGGTGGCCCCTAAATCCAGACTGGTGTCCACATATGACAGACACATAGGCCGGGCGTGGTGACTCATGCCTGTAATCCTAGCACTTGGGGAGGCTGAGGCAGGTGGATCACCTGAGGTCAGGAGTTCAAGACCAGCCTGGCCAACATGGTGAAACCCTGTCTCTACTAAAAATACAAAAATTAACTGGGCGTGGTGGCAGGCGCCTGTAATCTCACCTACTAGGGAGGCTGAGGCAGGTGAATCGCTTGAACCCAGGAGGTGGAGGTTGCAGTGAGCCAAGATCATGCCATTGCACTCCAGCCTGGGCAACAAGAGCGAAACTCTACCTCAAAAAAAAAAAAAAAAAAAAAGACATAGAGGGAAGAATGCCATGTGAACACAGGCAGAGACCGGAGCGACACATCCACAAGCCTAAGGGATGCAAGGACTGCCAGCAGTCACCAGGAGTCTCAGGAAGGATTCTCTCTCCCTCAGATCCTCCCGAAGGAGCGGACCCTGCCACCAATAACTTTGGAACAGAATAAACGTGTTACTTTAAGCTAGCATGCTTGTAGCAATTAGTTATAGCAGTCTCAGGAAAACAAATACACCAATTAAGAATTTTTTCCTTGGCTGGACGTGGTGGCTCACACCTGTAATCCCAGCACTTTGGGAGGCTGAGGTGGGCGGATCACTTGAGGTCAGGAGTCGAGACCAGCCTGGCCAAGATGGCAAAACCCCATCTCTACTAAAAATACAAAAATTAACTGGGCGTGGTGGTGGGCGCCTGTAGTCCCAGCTACTCAGGAGGCTGAGGCAGGAGAATGGCGTGAACCCGGGAGGCAGAAGCTGCAGTGAGCCGAGATCACGCCACTGCACTTCAGCCTGGGCAACTGAGTGAGACTCTGTCTCAAAAAAAAAAAAAAAAAAAATTTTTTTTCTTTCACTGGCCTTTTGTGTTGTGGTCTGGGTCAGTTTCTGTAAATGGACAGTTCTGGTCAAAGGTTTTGCCAATCTTCCTTCCTGGCCCCACTTCAAGGTCTCTGCCCGTAAGAGGATGTAGGAAATTGACCTCCAGAATGTCTCTTCCCAACTTCAGGCTCACAGAAAACATGCCCGCCAGAATGTTCCGCTCCTCAGAGGGTCCCAGGTATTCTACCTTCAGCCTGTATTTTTCTCCCACACACTCCTCACCCCTGTTCAAACTACTGCCACCTTCCAAGACCCCTGTGATCCCTCTACCCTCTGCACACTTTCTCTCTCCGGCCTGCCCCAGGCCCTCTACTCAGCAGCCTGAGGGACCATCCTTCTCAGGTGACAGATCAAATTGTCACTCCAGTGATCTGCCCAGCTGGGTCACCACTGCAGCCACAGCAGCTCGCAGCAGGTCCTCGCCAATTCCCTCACCAGGGACATGAGATGCGTTCTGGAAGGCACCCAAGAGAAAAAACAGACAAAGGTCCTTTACAATTATGTAAGAGAACAGGAACTGAGATAAAAGAGTCAAGACCTCCAGTGACTTCACAATCAAGTCCCAATGGTCAGGCCCAACCTGCTGACTGTGGGGGAAGAGTTGGTGGCATGTGCGCAGAACAAAACACACATCAACTCCTGGAGAAAAAAAAAAAAGAAAAAAAAAAGAAAAAAAAAACCTTTTAATTCTAACGGACCAAACTGTGCCCAGGAATGTCTCCAAACAATGGAACCAAAAGAAACACAATAAAATTCTCCTGCTGAAGAAACCAAGAGTTTGTGCCAGCCCCAGTGCTTCTGAGGGTTAGGCCAAAAACAGCCCATTCCTGAGGCCAGCCCTGTCCCCACGCAGGGTTCTCAGCCCGAGAATAGGATTGTGGGTGGGTGAGGGAACTGTCCCCTCTTCCACCATGCTGGGAGCTCTTAGAAAAAGTCACTGGTGGGAGATCCCCTCCTCCTACCCCATGGAAACCCTCTGGGCACCATCCAGAAAGCCAGCGAGGACAGGACAGCCCCGATACCCTCCTGGCCTTTCAGCAAATGCTCCACTCCAGTCCACTCAGTGGGCTGCTCCCAGAGCCCAAGGTGGGGATTAAATAAAATATGCATGAGAGAGATAAACTCAAATGCCCCACCGTCTCCACGATGCAAGTCACATAGCAGAAGAAAAAAATGTACGAGCCCTAGTGGCAAGCGCCGGCCCTCAGAAGACACGCTCAAACTCCGTCTGGTTGGTGGTGGCGGGATTGCGACTCTGGTTGGTGGACTGCTGGGTGATCTGACTGCCCTTTCGGCGCGGTGGTGCCAGGTACTCGAACATGGACGTCAGGTGGGTGGAGAGCATGCCCTTGAGGTCAGAGGGCATGGGGTCGGACCAGAAGAAGTCATGGTTGAGGGCATCGTCGCTGTCGATGCGCTGGGCAGGGTCCAGCACCAGCAGCTTATCGATGAGGTCCAGTGCGTACGGGTCACGCACATAGGCCTTCAGCCTGTCCTTCACCTTCCGCTTCTGGCCCTTGACCAGCTCCAGCTTTTCATACAGCTCATAGTTGTCCACATTTGGCCACACCTGGGAGGGAGGGAGCGTTGAGAGAGGATGAAATCTGGCCAGGAGGTACGTGGCTTATCCCTTTGTCAAGGCCTAAAAGGACTAAAATACCTGCTCCACTTCGAGACTCCCAGACTACTACTGGAGAGAGAACTCGATCCCTCCCAAGAGAAGCAGTGCCCCCCACAGATTGGCACATACCACGTGCCAGGCCCTTCTACCCACATCACCTGGAATATAGGCTCCAACCCTGATATACGTCACATCTCTGGTTCACAGAAGAGAAACCCAGCGCTGACTCAGTTGTTCTGCCCAAGGCCACAGAATGGCTGATGGAACCGAGACTGGCGCACAGCCTGTGTGGCTCTCAAGGGCAGGCCCTGTCACCAAACCAGCCTCCCTTCCAGAGAGGAGCGCTCCTTCCATTCTACTCCCCACTCCTCTTCCGGGGGACCGGGACCCCGTACCTCAGGGGTAATGGAGCCGCAGAGCTGACTGATGAGGGCGAGTTGGTGCTGCTCCGTGTTGCCCTGCATGATGGGGCTGCGGGTCCACATCTCTGCCATGATGCACCCAGCACCCCACAGGTCAATGGGGGGGCCGTAGTCCCGCTCCCCTGGGAAGAAGAGCGCACCAGGAGGGCCCCTTGAGCCCGGAGGCCTCCTGAGACTCAACGCCCCAGGGCCGGCAGCTCAAGAAGCCCTGGCAGTGGGGGGGCGGGGGCCAGGTAGATGCCTGGCCCTCACCCCCCTCGGCCCGCTCGGGAGTCCTCACCGAGCAACAGCTCCGGGGGCCGGTACCAGAGTGTCACCACACGGTTGGTGTAGCGGTTGGGCTGGCTGTTCTTAGCCAGGCTGAAGGCCCGGGCCAGCCCAAAGTCTGCCAGCTTCAGGACCCCATCACGAGTGATAAGCACGTTAGCAGCCTTCATGTCCCTATGCAGGATCTGCAAGAAGGGCAAGAGTGGCTCCTTCAGCGATACCCACCCGGGAGTGGGAGCCAAGGCCAGCCCAAGCCTGGGTCCTCCTCCCAGCTCTCGCGCCCACCTTGTTCCTGTGGATGTAGTAGAGGCCGTTAAGCAGCATCTGCATCACCCTCTTGATTTCAGACAGCGTGAACTTGACCAAAACATTGCTCAACAGCCCAGCAAGGTCATGCTCGCAGAAGTCGAACACCAGGTATATACTGCCCTTGCAGCGGTTATAGGGTGAAGCTGAGGCAGGAATACAAGGAAGAAAAAGTCAAGAAAGCCACACCCAACACACTTTCCCACAACCAGTTTCTTTCTTCCTGCTCCAACCCATGGGCACCCATGCCCTCCAGAGCATCTGTCTGTTCCTTCCTTCACTGGTCAAATATTTTCTGAGTGCCTCTTCTGGGCCAGGGCAGGCCCCGGGGAAGCACCAGCTAAGATGAAAGAGGACCAGAGAAAGCAGTCACCATGGGTCCATCTGAGTTAAGAGGAGGCAGTTTAGGTGGGTCCAGTTCCAACTTTACGAACAAAACCTTAGGCTACAAGTGTCATCTCCTCATAAGATCCAAACAACTTACCTTTGGTTCGACAAATCTCAATCAAGTTGACCACATTCTCATGTTTTAGAAGTTGAAGGATCTTGATCTCCCGCAAGGCGGTAATGGGGAACTGGGTGGGAGAGAGGGGAAAGTGGTCAAGAGTGAGCGCAGTACAGAGCCCAGCCCTGGGGTCTATATTGAGAGGCAAGTTGGGAGACAGAGCAAGATCATGGGCTCTGAAACCAGCTGTCTCAGAAGCTCTGCCTGTAAAATGGATATAGTAGGAGCATGCACACTTCAAGGAGATGATTTGAGACAACAAACTGAAACAGCAATACTTTGCTATTAGCCACTAAATGCTCGGCGGTTTCAGACTTCAAACTTCAGCTCTATGGCTGTTTCGTTGGCAACAAACATGACGATTTAAAAATGTCCTCGCTAAAGCACATCAGGAAAAGGAAGGTTTATGGGAAGTTGTACTTGAGCTAAGATGCGGTGGAGGGACCGCTCCTTTTAAACACATTAAATAACTGAGTATTAATCACTTTTCAAAAATTTGCATGCATATGTATCTTTCTTTAACATTAAGCAAAATTTAACACTAAAAAAAGGTGTTTAAAGGCTTCCTAACTTCGTGAACTAAAGTGCACACGATGCATGCATCAACTCCCCCTCCCGGTCTCACCCATAACTGCCTAAGACGGAAGCATTTAGTTTTAGGGTGGAGGCCAAATTCCCTGGAAATTTCTGAACTACTACGAAAAAAATTAAATCTCAACCTGAGACTCCTAGAAGCAGCAGGGTGGAAAACCGACCCGGGGTCCTGGGCAGTTAGACGGCTGGCCCGCACGCCCGATCCGTACTCACCCCCTCCTTCTCGTTTTCCATCAGCACCTTCTTCAGAGCCACCTTCTGGCCGGTCTTGCGGTGCCTGGCCTTAAACACCTCCCTGCAGGCGGAAAGGGAGACCCGAGAGCTCATCAGGCGATTTCCGCAGGGCCCGCCCCTCCCCCACTACAGGAGGAGGGGCAGCAGCAAAAAGATTCCCGGGCGGGGCTGGGGTAAGTACTCAGGGCACGCGGCTACCCCGCCACCCGGCACCCTGTCTCGTTCGGAGCCTCTGCTTCCTTCCCTCAGTCCCTTCTCCTCACTTGGGCGTCTCTTGGAGAGATCCCGTTCCCCTCACGGGCGCCTCTCTGCAGCCCCTCCCCGCCCCCACCACCGGCCTCAGGCTCCTCCCCACCAGCCGGCTCCTTCAGGCCGGGGCGGGGTGCGGCGCGGCCTAAAGACCAGTGGGCAAGCCCGGGGACAGACGGTTTCTCTACCAACTCGGGCGGGGCCCGGGGCATCCCGACGTCCGCCCTAGGGGTGCAGGCCCAGGGCTCCCGGCCCCGAGGGGCCCAGCCTTACCCGAAGGTGCCTTGGCCGATCTTGGCGAGCTTCTCGTATTTGGAAACTTCATCACAAAAGGGGCACTCCACCGAGTCGTACTGCTTTGCCATGGCCGCCTCCAACGCGCCGCCGCCGCCCCCAGCCGCTGCTGCTGCCGCTCCCGCT